ATACTGAATAAAGAGTATGGAAATGTCAAATATATAGCGGGCAAAAGAGGCCAGCGGGCCGATTATTGAAACTGATAGACAAAGCGATAGACAAGGAGACATAGGGAGTATAGAGCGATCCGATTGGTTGACATGGTTGGTTCTTATAGAAGGAAGAAAATGATGGACTAACTGTCGGGTCTTTGGTGGGTTGCCGTTAGTTAGTCCATTACCTGCCTCCTATGTCCATTGTCACCACCCGCTTCCACCAATAGGATCCCTCCAAATCCTCTTTGTCGTCTTTGTCTTTAGCTTTGTCTATCGGTTTCAATAATCGGCCTGCAGATCGATAGAGACAAAAGTAACAGTACACTGAAAAAAAAGTAGTTAGCGTTGAGAACTAATTTGGTGTTTTGCCTAAAAATTGACGCCTCATCGCATTTCTCACTTGAGTCTTCAGCTAAGCACTTGCACTCTTCTGTCTAAAAATAAAGCGTCTTATTTTTCTTCGTCGAATGCATAGGACTGAAGGAGACTAGTCCGTCATTTGCGAGACTTCAGGAAAAGTCTTTGATAAGTGCAGTGCGTATCATGATCGACCATGAAGCATATCCTGCATCGTGGCATTGCACCTTTTTAATTTTCATAAAGTAGTGGTTTTAAATGCTGAATTTTTTCGACACACATGCTTTCTCGTAGATATAATTCAAGATGGTTTCTAACCTCGCTCATTTTACGATAATGCGCAAAATAGATGCGCACGCGTTACATTGAACTTTTGCGCATAGGGCATGCAGTTATTTCCACTCGAATGCATATCGTCATTTATTCCCAGACGACATTTAACTACATCATTTTGTAGCCAAATTTTCTCTCGCAAATTTCTTTAAAAAAAAACCGATGATGGTTTTTTTTTCAAGTAATATAGAGGGCTTGGAGAACTAGGCATATATGTGCAGTTTTTGAAAACAATGAGTTATTAGTGATTTCAAGTAAAACTAGTCTTGATGCATATTCCCTGAAAAAATCGCTCCCAGGTTTCACTTTTTAAGCTCCAAAAAGTCAGTTTTAACTCTCTTTCCGCCATAAGGCTCCAAGTAATTTCGAAACTTCAAACCCGCATTTCTCGAAATAGCAAAAACTGCACTTATGCGCCTTGTCCTTCAAGCCCTTAAGTGAACATTAAAGATTCTTAAAAGTTGAAATTGAGATAGGTGTTCTTTTACTTTCGCCATCGATATAAGGAAAAAAACAGAACGTGGGGTGGCCAAAAATCTGTAACTTGGAGGAAAAATGCATAGTTTTGCTTGAAATTTCGAGGATATGCTCAACTCGCATAAGAAAAATCAGGAATTTTGACTTACCTTTCTGGCCTCAAAATGGCGAATTGTTAAAAATCTCCGAGCCCTGCATCTCACCCCAGAATTTTACTTTGGCAAGTGCGGCATCGATTTCTACATAATTTTACCCGTAAAACTCGAATTTCTGGTGGAAAATTCGAAATAACCCACTAGGTAGGCCTAGAGTCCCTTTATACTGAGAGTCAAGACAACACCCTCTCATGGAGTCACAAACGGGAATAAAGATTACACAAATTGAACGTTTTTCGTAATCTTTGATCGGCCCATTCTCAAATTCAATTCTCCGTTCCTTCTCTCATTCTGTTTGTTCCTTGCCGAACCTGTAATTCCCTGGTCCAGTCTAGATTATAATCTTTGCAATCGGTGAAATGTAATCTTTATTCCCGTTTATGACACTGTGAAGGCCTAAAATACGGGAACCAATCAGAAATGGATTCATATTGTCTTGACTCTCAATATAAAGGGACTCTAGGTAGGCCTAAATTCGAACTTAGGCCATTTTGAAGCAAATTAAGGGCATTGCAATGCACCTACGAGGATCCTAAAGCTGGCCTCTCGCCGGAAGAATTTGTCAACGATGGGAAGAGCTAAGGGGTAAGTATCGGGAAGCAGAGCATGAAAAAAGCTCTAAAATCAAGAAGAGATTCCCCGACGTCGGCAATGAGGATGAAAAGACTGCATCTTAAGTGCTTCAGAGCCGACGAGAAAAAAGGAAAAAGAGCGCAAAAAAGATTTGATACGGTGAGATTAAATGATCGCTTCATTTTATGCATACAAAACGTTACGCACTACGCACAGCGCCCGGTTCGCAACTGCTAGCTCCTTGAATTTCTCATCAAAAGATAGAAGGTGCCCGCTGCCCGGTTGAGAGACAATATATAAAAAATATCAATGCAATACTCCTCAATTAATTGAACTGATAACAACATTCCCAATTGAAAAGTACTTATCAGGTACTATTTTAGATTTTTAACCATTTTTATTTATCTAACTGAGGATGGCTGAATTTTTAGCCGAAACGTTTTGGATTTGTGTATGTGAAATTTTAGTCTTGTTACCCGCTTTTTAAATTGCTTTTTTATTGTATATCTTGTCACGGGCTACAGAGCATCTATCATATTTCATTACTCTTCAATTAAGTTCAGATCATTGATAATATTTTGAAATCGCACGTCAGGAGTATTGTTTGAATGAATATTTTGAATAATATTGTATTTTTTGTGTGATGATGTTCTTTTTATGTAATAAGTTTAAAATTTGGTATAAAACATTCCAGATTAATAATGCAGTTTTTCTTTGAAATAAGTTCGCAATTTAGTAGGATATAATGTTTATTTTTGAGGAAAAGTATGAATACTGTTCCTTGAAATTTTCAGGAATTTTAGATCAAAATACGAACGAACTTCTCTAAAAAATTGGAAGAAAAATATTCAATAGTTTACCAGGGAATGTGTGTTTTATCAAAGAAAATTTGGCAACGCCTGAAGCTTTATGCGGCGTTTCTCCTTAGTGCGGCAGATTTGTCATCCTCATCAGTTCAGTTAGTTGCGATATATCAATTGATATGTAATTTAAACCTACGGTAAAGAATCGATTATTAAGGTGTTCGCTGCGAACACTCTGTTTATCGATCCTTTTCCATATGTTTAAATGGCCGATCATTCGATATATCGCAAAGCACGCAACGCCACTGAGTTCAGTATTGGTAAACTTCTTCTGAGGCAAAAAAACCAACCAACAATGATGACACTGACTTCACATAATTTTTAATGACAGAGAGAGAAAACTCACAGACAAAGATAACCGGCTTCCCGCCGCGCCAACAAACTAACTAATTGGCTGACAGTGACGTCAGTTTGATTGTTATTAGGTTTTTGTGTAGTTGGCCGGCACCAATCACGCCAAACATTTATTTTACCTCAAGGAAATCGCTTCTAAGTTGACTCGTGTGAAATTAAACTTTTGGATGTATATCTGAATTCGCGTGTGGATTTTCAGACGCTCGATACGTTTTGTTGCATTCAATAATGGATGGTTAGACTTGCATGTGAGCAGTTCGTGTCCAACGATCATGCAAGTTTAACTCGAACGTCAGTATTTTCCCCCAATCTAATGATATACATTGTCTAGGAGGAGCCCCTTGATTATCGCTGTGTCCAAACCGATGCGACTTTTATTTCTTTACCTAACTTCCACGATGATATGGTTAAAATAAATGCGAAGAAACGCCCTTATAACTTTTCCTCTTCCCAGCTACCCATCTTGTGCGACTGATGAGTCGCACGAGGAGCGAAAGGTGCCTTAATGCGGGGATAAGGTACATATCGACGGTGAAATTACCAAACCACGTATCTCGTTTGCTGTGTTTAAAAATCTACGCTCACATTTTATTTTTTTGAAATAGACCAAATCAATATCATTCCTTGAAATTTTCACAGAATTTTCTTCGCACGAAGAGGAAAAATCACAGAAATTCTCAAGACTAGACATTAAGTAGTTTTTCATTTAAAAAATAAAGTATGACAGGAAGTCTGCGACGTCGCAAACCGAGATACGTGGTTTGGTAGTTTCACCATCGATATATCGACGGTGTAAGCTGGCAATCACATAACTCGTTTCCGGTGTCTGAAAATCTCCGCCTCTGTGTTATTTTTTTAAAGGAGAACAAATTGACATCATTCCTTGAAGTTTTTGCAGAATTTACTTCGCACAGAGAAGAAAAATCATAGCAGTTTTAAAGAATTGCTGTTGAGTAGTTTGCCGTTTAAAAAATGAAGTATGACAGGAAGTCTGTGACGCGACGTCGCAAACCGAGCTATATGATTGCCGACTCACACCGTCGATATATCATACTATCGTGCTAAGAAAACACGCCGTATGAACTTTCAGGCGTTGCCAAATTTCCATTTATTAAACAAGAATTTTCTGGTAAACTTGTGAATATTTTTCCTCCAATTTTTCAGATAATTTTGTTTGCAATTTCACTGAAAGTTCCTAAAAATTTAAAGGAAAAATATTATTAACTTTTCTCAAAAATCTACATCTAATTGAAGGAAATTTGGCAACTCACGAACGCTCATATGGCGTTCTTCCTTAGCATGGCTGCATAGCTTATAGGGGTTTATTATGCTTACTCATGCATGGTTCAAAGAATACCCATATAATTTCAAAAATTGATCCGATGGTAGATTTTTGGTATAAACGGTTTTTTTTTGGTGGTAGACGATTGGTAGAACGAAAAACGGGACATTTAAAGCAGTTTAGCCGCAGCGCTGTTGCCGGTATATGACTGCACTTCGAACGCTTAAAGCATTATTGAGATTGCGAACAGTGGCTTTAAAATTTGATCCATATTCTTGGAATATTAGAGAACGTTCGGCGGCGACAGTTAAAAATCGATAATGTTGACCCCTAACAGGTTTCATCGTTGTGCGGAACGATTTGAGTTCCTACCTCGAGGGGCATGTTACCCTACTACGTCACAACTAAAGTTTAAAAGTGTTTGTGTTTGAACAATTACACTGACTGACCACGCCAAGCGCATTTAGTTTTAATTACTTTCTGGGAAAGAAAAGAGAAGGATGGAGAAAGAGTGAAAGGACAGTTTATAAACAAGTAATGTTGGAGCCCTTCATTGTACCAATACGTTTTTTGTTGCAGTTTCAACGACCCACGGATCAAGGCCAAACTTGAGGAGCTGATGGGCACAAACGTTGTCCGACTCACGGACAGGAATTACATGCTCCAATTGCGTGCCAGACTCTTGGACGAGTATGAGCAAAATTTACGAAAAAGGATGAAGGAGCGAGAGGTATGTTCGTCCAGGAATCTGATTTCGGAAAATTGTAAAAACTCGAGTTATCTCAAGAGAAATTGGACTATTTCTGCCAAACGGAACTATGTGCATTAAGACATGAGCCCTGGGACCCGTAAGAATGTATGCATAACGGGCTACGTCATAGTTACGTACATAGTTCCGTTTGGAAGAAATAGTCCAATTTTGACCTATTCTTACCAAGGAATTGATTGAAATGCAATTTTAAAGATGCATTCAACGCCACGATTTAATTTAGCAACTTATCTCGTGTTTTCCTAGGGAGGATGAAAGAACAAACATAAATGCGGTTTAATAATTTTAACTTTCGCCGCCACGCCGCGCCGCGCTGACTGCACTCTGTTTGGTGCAATGCGTGAAGTAATCCTACAGTCTTGTAAGCGCTATGCCTTTCACGCCGACCGCTGCTGACCGCGCTGTCTTTGACGCAATGCGTGAAGTATTCAAGCAGACTTGTAGGCGCTAATAAGTGCTACATGCCGACCGTCGCGCCGCGCCTGGGGTTTTCCTTTTCATCTCAAGGTATCGTCATCATTGCCCTCTGCGCCGCACCGTTCCAGACCAAATTCCGTGTTCGGTTTCTCTCTTAGTCTTAACTCGACTGATTAAAGGTGCTGTCTATTGTATCATAGAGAGACGACAAAATTAGAGATATACTCTCAGGAAATGATAGATTTTGTCACCTTTTTTTCGTTTGTAATTTGTTTTCTGAATCCGATTTTTCTTTATACATTCAAAAAAATTGCAAAATTTGCCGCCATGGGCCGCGGCCCATGTGGCTACACCCTAAATCCGGCTCTGGCCTGCTGCGGTCTGATTATTGAAATTGATAGACAAAGCGATAGACAAAGAAGACACGGGGAGTATAGAGCGATCCTTTTGGTTGAAAAGGGTGGTTATTATAGACTAAAGGAGAAAATCGAGGGGGGTCAGGGGTCTCTCGTGGGTTAGGTTAGGCTAGGTTAGGATCTTCCTCCTTCGTCCATTGTAACCACCCGCTTCCACCAATAAGATCTCTCCATATCTCTTTTGTTTTATTTGTCTATAGTCATGTCTATCAATTTCAATGATCGGCCCGCTAGAGTGCTAGGTTCCGTACATAATTGCGTTTGAGAAGCATGATGAATGTTTCCTTCAATAATTTAAGTCGATTGTCTTCTTTGCACGCGGTGTTACTGCCACTATTCCACATGCGCTTCCGTAAATATTGCTTGGTGCTATTCGACAGTACGTCTGCACCTCTTACTACCTTCTTTGATCTCCCTCATTGAGGAACAACGCACTTAAGAAAATGATAAAAATTCCTTGACGTGTACTCCGTACAAAAAGTGGGCAGACTACTTCTTATGCCAGATCGTATCTGCGCGACTTTCCCGATTCCCCAGGGAACACCAGAGACCTGGAGGTTAAGCCGATTTTTCCGTTCAGCTCACGGATTTCCCCTGGCGAGAGGAAGCCGAATCTATCGGGTAAATATACTCCCCGAGTTTCGCCGTTGAACTCAACGGAAGCGACTAACTTCGTGCCGTGCTTTGGCGTCACTACAGAGTCGACTGCAAGGAGTGGGTACTTTTCCCCTGCTTTCAATTCTTCCGGCCTGAGGTTGTGAGCCCCAGCTCTGTTGAAAGCTTCAATGATGACTTCGGTCCCGCGCGTTTATCCATCCTTTCACACTTTCCATACAAAGTCAGGCTGCATGAATGTGAGGCTCACTCATAACTGCAGCGACGTCTGCCTTTCTGAGAATCTCTCATTATGGTCGCACCTGCATAACGCTGCACAGTGGATCGAGTCAATCAGAGGGCTCGGATACATTTGAAAATTTGGACTAAAACTGCACATTTTGATGTTTATTTTGCCATATTTTAAATTTGAAGGGGTGATATTTTAAGAAAATTTCACGAGGAAACCAATGGAACAACTTTTTAAACCTCAAGTTTCGTATAAACCGAGTTATAAGCTTTTAAAGTTTCCAAATTTTGTCCGACCTCTACTGTTGACTCGATCTACTGTGCACTGTGCGTCGTTGCCCCCACGAAAGCACGTAACCATATTCCAATGCTCCCAAATTTCCCCCGCAAAATGCAATTTTGAATGTGGAATCCTGGGCACATCTAAATGAGAATTTCGCCGAATTTTGAACTGTCCTCGTGTAAAAATCGGACGGATTTTGAACGAAAATTGCACCGGTGCATTTTGTAAAAAGTCAATTTGTTTGAGTCAATTTTGCAACCTTGGGATTGTGTTGCGTTCCTTCGTTCGGGAACCGACGATTAGAGACTGTTTTGACTTGACGTTTTTCCCGTTACTTTTGGAGGCGACCGGTTCTACGTTTGATCCCCAGCTAGATCTGAAAATGTATTTCCTTGTCTCACGACGCGACAATAGAATAAACAGATAAAAGAACAATAGATAATTGAAACCGGAGACGTGTGGGAAAGATGGGGGTGCTCACGCAAGCTGCATGAGAAACAATGCAAAAGTGGGTGTGATTCCTTTTGGCAAAATGGAAAAGTGGGATTTGGCATTAAACAGAATAGTGCGAAAATATGCTAACTCATGAGCCATGGGCATGTGAAAAGATCGTTGTGGACAGGGCTCATGAGTTGCCGTCCTCGCGTAGGTCCCCATCGTCTACGCTGACGTCACTGGCGCTTTATAATTACCATTCATTCCTATGACCCTCACTTAACGAGCACACTCCCTCTTTTCCATTTGTCTCTCATCCCTTTTGGCATAAAAGACATCCAAATAGCATTTAAAAATAGCAATTAAGTGACTGATAGCAATTTTTACCATTAAAAAAGCGTTAGTGACTCACATTGGCCCAAAAATTGATCTCGAAAGAAATGTCTCAGTGCCAAATTGATGGCTTTGATCCCTTGTCTAGACATTCAAGAGGAGCGCCTCACGAGAATATGATGGACACAAATTGTAGTTGTGAGGGAGAGCTAGTTAAAAATTATTTAAATACGGGATGTATGACGGACATTTTGAACTACGTATTGTCAACCTGAATCTTTTTAGATAATTGAAAATTCGTCCGAAAGAGTCAAATTCATTCCTCCCGGATATTTCCTCTAAATGGGGTTTACTACAGAGGATTGCTCGCTGCTCGGTTATTTATGGCTGAATACTAGAAGTCTTTAACTGCTTGGAATAATGCTGCTAAATGATGTATTTGTTTCGGAGAATGAGCAGTGGACCAAAATAATAATCGTTTTGTTTGTTTCACAGAGAGACGAAGTAGAACGAGAAAAAAGGCTAATCTTGTCAGGTAGGATGCCGATTGAAGATGCACCCGCGGAGCTGGAGGATCATCCTGTATTCAGGATTACACAATTCACGAGAAAAATCCTTCAAGAGAAACGAGAGAAGGTTAGCACCTGCTTATCATTTCATCTGCTATCTCTTGGCTTTTTTCACTGCCATTATATTCATATTTTTCAAGACGAATGAATGAGAAATCAAGTATAAAAAACGAACGTGCTTTTCTGTTATTCCTCGATCGAATCGATGTCGATCGGTTCGCGTTTATCTATTGCCATCGATTCCTGTCGATCTAGTATTATCTAAATCCACGCGTTTGATTGAACAACTCTTGTTTGTGTGCGTGATCGTGCTATTTCACAATGCTACCACTATTCGAGCACGTGGGAGCTCGTGTTGCCTACGACGTAATTGAAGGCGACTTGACGAGGCGTTAAAGTAATCTTTCCCACTTTGAGAAAAGGCCGTTTTATTTTCTCTTTTCTTCTTTGTATTGCTATCATTTTCCTCCCCTTTCTCATTTCTTCTTCCTCATTCCTTCTTATCCTTTCTCTTTTCTTCATCTCCCTCCTTCTTTATTCCACTTCATTATTTTTTTTTCTTTTCTTCATCTCTCTCCATCTTTATTCTCATTCATTATTTTTTCTCTTATCTTCAGCTTCCTCGTCTTCAGTATGTTTTCTTTTTCTCTTTTCTTCAACTCTTCTACTTTTTCATCTCTAATATTATTTTCTTTTTCATCCATCTCTAATCTTTTTCTTCTTCCTTCTATCTCCTTCTTTCCTTTTTTCCATCTCATTCCTACTTTTATCTCTCTAATTTTTTTCTCTTCTTTTTAGTGTTTTTGTCCCTTTTTTCTCGTCCTTGTTATTTCTTCTTCTTTTCTTTTTCTTCCATTTTCTTTTCGTGTTTTTCTTTTTCCTCCTCCTCTTCTTCATTATCTCTTCTTTATATTCATTATCTTTTTTCTTATTCTTCCTCCTCTTCCTATTTTTCTCTCCTTCTTAATCTTTTTTTTTTTATTTTCCCCCTGGTAAAAATTGGCGATAGGAGCATCGTTTGAAAATGTCATAAGAGTTCTTATAGCCGACTGAAGAAGGCTATTGAAAATCATACAGCTGGCTGTAGAAAGCGGAGCAAATCATATAGCCGGACTATACGAAGCTATAAAAAAGTATACAGTCGGGCTAGTTCCTATCGCCGGGCTTTACACTTTATCGCCATTGGCTATAAATGGCTATAAGAAATTGTGTAGAAATTCGTGTGCTTTAGAAATCCTTAAGTTTGATACGGAACTACCTTCACATTTACAAAACACATTATATTTTCCTTTGAAACATATTTTTTTTACATCAATTAAAATGAGAATAGTCCATACAGAGTGTGCAAAAATTTCAAAATCATGACTTGAATAACGCTGACTCCGCGAGCTTAAATATTAGAGTCTAACACAAAGCGGAGCGGCGACGCACTGGCGCCTACAAACCTAACAGGGATACTTCACGCATTGCGCGGCGACGCACTGGCGCCTACAAACCTAACAGGGATACTTCACGCATTGCGCAATGCGTGAAGTACCCCTGTTAGGTTTGTAGGTGCCAATGCGCGTTTCGCGCTCTCTGCCCGCTCGCCGCGCCGCAGCGTGCTACGGCGTCTGAAGCAACTATATCACACCAGAGGTATTGCGCAGTATCATAAGAAATTGAAGGCGCTCCAACATATTAAGAATGACAGGCATCCTTCAAAAGTACGGAGCTTCCCTCGCAAAATAAATCAAGATACTACGGCACAAAAAGAGAGCGGTAGTCCAAAAACTAACTAAGTCCTAGTATCCGTATTTAGTAACGTTTAGCATAAACTTTATCGTCTGGCTGTTGCTTAATCGCTATCGGCTATAAAAGGCTATAAGAAATTGTGTTGCCGACTACAGAAGCTATTGGAAATCTTACAGCCGGCTTTAGGTCAATAGTATTTTGTAACACACGTTCTACTGCCAATTTTTACCAGGGCCTTTGTTCTTCATCCTTTCTTCTCCTTTCTTTAACGACTCTTTTTCTTCAACGTCCTCCTCATGCCTTCTTTGTTTATCTCCTTTTTCCTTTTTTTTAGTTTCTTTTCTTCTCCTTTTTCTCCTCCTTTTTCTTCTCGGACGGACAATAAAAACTGGTTTCTTTTTTTTTTAGCAGAAAACAGCATAAAATGAGCATTACGTCACTGACCCTTTATCCATAAATGTATCTTCTGCAGCAAATTTTCCGATAGAGACCATCTGACTGTTACATACAGATTCTTGCAACATAAGCTGTAATTGAACTGTTACTTGACGTTCTGAATCGGCAAGAGTGATGTCGGCAGCTTCGGGTTCGCCTTCAATTTGCCGCGTGGGCAACAAAACCTACCGGGGAATGCGAATAGTAGTTATCTATTCGGAAAAAACTACGTTTATCTCGCTCTTTAAGTTTTGCTTCGACGAGGCTGTAAGCTAAATTCTTTTGGCAGCTTCCTAGGAAATCGCAGTAGATGAATCTGTGCATGCAGTTCGGCAGTTTATTATCCACAACTATAGTAACCTACAATTGAATAGGTTACTATTCTGCCGTGCTAAGGAAGAACGCCGTATGTGCATTCGATAGTTGCCAAATTTCCTTCGACAAAATGTTCATTTTTTGGGAAAGTTATGAACATTTTTCCTTCACATTTTCAGAATCTTTGGGTGGAATTGCGACCAAAATTATCTGAAAAAATGGGAGGAGAATATTCATAAGTTTACCAGGAAATTCGTGTTTTTTCTAAGGAAATCTGGCAACACCTGAAAGTTCATACGGCGTTTTTCCTTAGCACGGCAGATTAGACGGGCGCAAGTCCAAAAAATCATAAACCCTGGCCTTGGTCGATTACCCAGGACGCTAAGGCTCATGAGTTGTTAGACTTACGCTTATCCGATTCCATTTCGAGCGGGTCATTTTTTCCACTTGCAGGCAATGAAAAGACAGACGTTCAAATGCAAAGCTGTACCTGTGGACGTCCTGGTGGACAAAAAAATCAACTCGACGGTGGGGACAGAGCGATCCAAAACGCACTCGAACGACGAGGAGTTGAGGTTGGGGTCCTGCGAGACTCTCGACAAAGTCGACGGCGCGGGAATCACGAGCTCCGAGGACCGGCGCTCGGTCGTCATCGAGGAGATGGCTCCCGGTTTCATGTTCACCCAGGAGGAATATGATAACCTGAAATACGAGGCGCCTCTCGTCAAGCAGCTCAGAACCATACAGGTGCAGCCATCAAGTCTCAACCACCACCAAAAATAGAGATATTCCCTCGTGCTCAGCAATCCGAGCCATGCCAACTTTCATCAAAGAAAATATCCATTCTGAAAAAAAGTTACGGGGTGTATAGACATACCGGCCGTTCCGGGCTCAGAGGCCGAAAGTTCCGGGTGCTGGAGCCGAAGCTTCGATTGCTCCGGGTGCTAGAATCGAAGCTTCGACTGCTCCGGGTGCTACGCCCGGAATATGCGGCCCCTGAGCCCGGAACGACGGTATATCTTCATAGCCCGTGCGTACGGCTTCCACGGCCTGAATTTTTTTTCTCAATGCATTTTTGAAGAATGTTAGGAATATTCTCTCCGCGAATTCTTAGGATATATCTGCCGTGCAACGCAAAAACGCCGTAAACGTCATTTTTAATTTTTTTGGAAACAATGTATCATGGCAGAAAAACCTGTGTACCTTGGGACAATTTTTTTACAGAAACCTTACGCAAATACTATGAAGAACTTAACCTGAAAATTTGAGGTGCATGGGTAAAACGGTTTTTATTTTGAAAAGTGTTAAGTTCCAAAAAACGCGGGAAAATCTAGATGGATTTACAGCGCTCTTGCTTAGGATGACAGATTTAGATTAAATTGCGAATACAATTTCATGAAAAATTGTGAAGTCCTTTCATACTGAAAGCTAAGATACGGAGAACCCATTGGCTTTCGTATTTTTGGCTCCTATGATGTCACAAAGGTTACATTTTCAACGATTGCAAAGATTACGAACCGGAATTATAGCAATCAAGTTATGGATGGATTTGGAACCCGTGCAGCTAAAGTGCGCATTATTTCGCAGACCTCATGAGACCCTTTCCCAGATCTCTGAAATCTTTCTCTCATTTATTGAGTCCCTTCCTCATCCACCCCGTCTTGTGGCCGCGTGCCGGTTGGTTTTGGTGCCAATTTTTGAACGTGAATTCAGATCTGACCGTGGGACTTAAGTGACCGGCTGCCGAAAAATGAGGATTGATGAATCCTCATTGTTCTGTAACAAAAGTTCAATCTGAGCTCGCAGTCCAGTGGGGGAGAGAGAGAAATTTTATTCCTTTCGCGACCGCATCCTACGGGCCCCGAACCCAAGAAAAATAATCGGCAAACATGTCACGATTCTTTCTTCAGGGCTTACTGGTTTTTTTTTTCTTCGTCTTGTCCCTCTTTTGGAGGGGGAGGAGTACCGGATCAACCTGATAAATACCCAACCGAGCCAAATCTCAATGACGTTTTATATCAGTGACGTTAATCTTAATGACAAACCCACTGGATTACGCACAACGTGAACTCGGGGGCTAGACTTATTCGGGAGAATTAGGAGATAGACAGAGGGCACTTATGGAAGTAGGACGCAAACAATATGAAGGTGAGAAGATCGAAACACACAAAATTTAGGCCTGTCTTTTCAAACAATCGAGGGAGGCAGGGTGATTTCACGTTGTGTCTAGGAAGTATCTTTGTGGTGCGTGGGAAGGCAGAAAATGATAAGGCACAGAGAGTTATACCGTTGACAGAGGAGAAATTGCGTGGGCTCCTCAAACACTGGCAACAATAAGTTAGTAAAAAGTGTCTTTTTTACTCTCGCTTCTGAAATTTTTGTCGATGGTCTCACTTTCAGAAACTTGGTGGTCGCAGGCTAAGTAAATTTTCGGAAAGAATTTTGCTGGAAAAACGGGCCTTTTTTGCCATCCTTATCACTTCACCGCGGTACTTCATCCTTTTAACCAGAGGGCGACGGTATGAGTGCACTTCATGGCGCTGATGCATTTCTTAGCCCTCTTGGCTCTCCAATATTTCTGAAATTTATGAAAAATAATGAGGAATACCTATGTTTCCATCCACTTTTCTGAAGACTTTTAGCTCAGTCTAGATGCTTGATTTCAATGACATCATAGTATTCAAAATCTCATTTCATGTCTAACCTAAAAAAAAGAAAACACTAAAAATTAAATATTAACAAGGTTAAACATATTTTACTTTTAAGTACAAATGCAGGTTGCATACGCAGATTTTGAGGTGAATGTATACCAACTTTTCCGTAAACCTCATATCCTCATTAAATTTTATGAAATTCAATGGAATTTCCAGTCCCTCAAATGTCTCTTTTTGTTCAATGCCCTGCATGATAATCAGGGCCGGATTTACTTAATTGCCGCCCAAGGGCCGCCTGTATTTTGCCGCCCCCTTCTCATTCGTTTTGAAACATCAATAAAAACCATCGAGTGAACGTGCCGGCGGGGAAGGGGTGCATAAGACGCGTTTACTCGTGTTGGACATATTTTTTGCGAAAGTCCTGTCAACACTACTTGCAAAAATTTACCGAACTTGGCGCGAAAATTAAGTTCCGTAAAAATATCTCTGTGTGGACAAGGCCTTCCATTTATATGAAATAAACGAAAAAATTATGAAAGAACAAACATAAATGTGGTTTAATAATTTTAACTCCGCTGCTGCGCCGAGCTGACCGCGCATTATTGTGTTTGGTGCAATGCGTGAAGAATTCACACAGCCTTGTAGGCGCTATGCGTTTCACGCCGCCCGCTGCTGACCGCACTGTCTTTGACACCATGCGTGAAGTATCCATGCAGTTTTGTAGGCGCTAATATGTGTTACATGCCGACCGCCGCGCCGAGGGTTTCTCCTTTTCATCTCAAGTTCTCGTCATCGTTACTCTCTGCGCCGCGCTGTTCCAGGCCAAATTCCGTGTTCGGTTTCTCTCTTAGTCTGAACTCGACTGATTAAAGGTGCTGTCTATTGTATCACAGAGAGATGACAAAATTAGAGATATACTGACAGGAAATGAGAGATTTTGTCACCTTTTCTCCTTGGTATATTTTTTTTTTCTGAATCCGATTTTTCTTTATAACTACATTTAAAAAAAAATTGCAAAATTTGCCGCCCCCTAAACTTGCCGCCATGGGCCGCAGCCCGTGTGGCCAACCCCTAAATCCGGCCCTGATGATAATGCGCAACCACCTGAGGAGATCCTCATATCACACCATTGGATTCGCTTCTGCGGCTGTTTTGGTGAATTGACATCGAATAACGTTGATCGATAATTGAGAGGCTTGGAGGACAAGGCGCGTAAGTGCAGTTTTTGCCATTCCGAGAAATACGTGTTTGAAGTTTTAAAGCTACATGGTTCCTTATGGCGGGAAGAAAGTTCAAACTAACTTTTTGATGCTTAAAAATTGGAAAGTGGGAGCGAATTTTTCACAGCCTATGCATTAAGACTAATTTTACTCGGAAATTATTAGGATCTCAATTTTTTTAAAGACTGGATTTATGCGTCTAGTCCTCCAAGCCCCTCAAATAGCGTTGCTTAAATGGGAATTTATTAATCAAGGCTGTTCGACAAGATTCGACAATCGACCTGCCTACCTCCATTACCCATTTTATACAATCATGACATGTTGATTTCGCGGAATGAATGCGGTTTTGCAGAAAATTGCTCTTTGCGCCGAAAGAGCAGAGACCGCGCTACCAATTACCCAAACACGTAACCAGGTCTATTTGCTCCGAATATGCAATTAAGCACTCCGGTGTCCTCTGCTCCTCCTCCCGGGAAATATAAAATACCTAATACATCATGCTGCCTGACAGATAGCGAAAATCGAGGGTTAAACTCGGGAACCACATACCTCGGTTTGCGACGTTGCAGACTTGCGTCATACTTCATTGCGCTGTTTTAAAGGGAAACCAATCGATGTTATATCCTGATTCCCGCGATTTTCCGTCACAGTTTGGGGAGCATTCTGTGAAAATTGTGAGTAGGAAAGGTAGCTTGGCTAACATCGAATAAATGATAAATGCGGATTTCCGCATTCATTGATAATATTGAGATTAGTTAAAGTTTCCTTTTTTTGTCTTTTTCCAGGATATCGAGGAGATGTACAAGTTGGCAGATTCCATTGTGGGGCCCTACACATTGTACAAAAAACCGAAGCAGCATCAGTACTCAGGATCGTAAACAAACCTATGCTAATCGATTGATTCGGAGATAAACATTCCTTCCGAACTTTAACCTCATATTTAAAAGTTCCTAAGACAAAATTCGCAGTATTGCTCCAATCGAAATCCTCATTTCGGCACGAAGGATGCGCGTAACATTTGGGTCATTTAATATTCCAAGATGGTACAGGAAAATGATTTTAAAAATTATAACCTCAATTGTAAACTCTTATGATGGATCGAAAACATTAGTTTTGGTTGCGAAAAACATTGTAAATTTGTAAATTGTTTCGTTTCAATAAAAAAGTTTGTTTCGATATGATGTTCATGAATCATTGATCCGCGGTTGTTTCAGGGGGTTTTTCATGACAAAACCATGGCCAATAAAATTTGAAAAGGATTTAGATAACCTTGACGTCAGTCAAAGCTACAAAATGCAACAGGAAACCCAAAGAAAAACCATCCAAAAAATTGTAACTATACATTTAAGTTACTTTGCGTAGCACACTACGTCCGTTACATTTTCTTACTATGTACTTTATGCCGAACAATTCACCTTCTTTCTATCGTTTACAATTTTCTCTTCATCTGTTCGTTCATATCCGCGAATCAGGCAAAGGTAAGAGAGCCAGCTAAGAGTAAGTGAAACACGAGAAATAAGGAACAGGTGAGCGAGTGATCAGAAAAACTTAACGACACGCTAGAGAGCAACATTTGTGTATAAGCTAGCAGCAAAATTTCAAAAACTCTTTCCTACTCAACTCTCTCCCCCCCTCCAATATTACTTTTTATCGCGCAGGAACTTCTTCTAGGTTTGATTGGTAGGGTATTTTTATCTACAACCCCCTCATCTAGTCGAAATCTGATACTTTATCTCACACTTTTTCCTGACTCGGTACTGACTCAGTAGACAATTTTTGAGGCGGTTCCAACCCCTTCCACCCGCCCCCCATCACACAATTTTAAATGATGTGCATAACGCGAAGTTGAAAGCTTACGGAAATGCATAGAATGATGAGAGTAGCAGCTCAGTGAGCACAATGGATGGGAGAGGGTTTGAGAACGATATGGTTTTTGCATTTTGACTGCTACCTCATTGGGAAGTAGCATGCCCTCGCGAACCGTTAAGTTTTATTTTATCTCGCTCACCTATCCTCATCTATCGTTTTTCACTTGTTCCTAGTGTTTTCGCCTACAGTTGCGCGAATTCTGAGGAAAGGCAGCTGAGGAGACAATGGGCAAACAAAATTTGCCTGGCCTGAAATTGAGTCATGTTCGCTAGATAAGGAGATCATTTTGCGAAAGAAGATTAGGAGGACCCGGATCCCTGAAAACTTGTGATCGTATGAGCCGCATATCACTAATTAACTCCCGCGTGAATGGGCACCCTTGGCCCATGAAATTTCTCCGAAGGAAATTTTGAAATTTTTCTCGCTAAATTAATGGCAAGGGACGGAAGAAGGAGGGAGGTTACAAACCAGTTGACATGCACCCTTTCAGACAGCGGCTAGTCCCAATTAGGCAACGCAGTGCCTTTTTTTCAAATATCACGGCTGAAATTGCATGCTAATATCTTTGAATGGATTTTCCTATCAAAAATGCAAGGGGCTACCATTAATGTCTGTTTACGCTATTTCCAAACTCGTGATCAAAATTGAAATATTTTTAGCGGAAATACAAAATTGCCATATCTTATGTTTAGGCCCCCGAAAATCCCTAAAAATTCAACCCACATCACGTCCAACCTCAAATTTGTTCTAGACACTTGAATTTACCTCTGGTTTTGGCTTTTCAAATTGTTTGACCCAAAAATGCCCCTAGAATTTGCAAAATACCCATTTTCTTTTAAAAAAAAGGAGAAAAATGAAATAATAAAAAAAAAAAAACTTAATTGTAAGGTTAAGGACCTTTTGTTCCAAAAACTTTTGAAACCTTCGCGGAGTTCGAATTGTGGAACTTCATTTGTGGGAGAAGTTTTATTCTGACCTGAAGAATTGCCCCCCCCCTCGGAATTCCACTGGTTTATAGCCTGAGACACTCTGTATGCATCGAAAATTTATCATTATCGTCAGCCTGTTGACCTAGCATACATCTCACATAGCTATGAAAATTTGATAAATTGTCTTTCTTAGGATTCGTGGATTTTCCAAAAATTATAAAAGTGTCAGTCATACAAACTTTACAGCAGAGCTGGATATAAAATCCATGATTCCTCGCGTTGCATACGATATTGTGACTGGAAAAAGCATGCTACGAATGGGATATCCTGCCCTCCTTACGGAAGAAAACTATCTGTATCGATTGACTCCTGGCACGAGGATATACTCAGAAATTTATGTAACCGAATTGACATCATACATACGTGCCTATAAATCCATTCCGCGGCCTGAAATAGAATATCACACAACATTCCATGACAGTCTCAATCCCTAATATAAATGAATCGGTCTGTCATTGAGTTTAGTTCGGTTCTCCCCATCGATTTGGATGGAGACTCATTTCTCCTTCAAGTTTCTTTGCATTCGTCGATCTCTTCAGAAAAACATTAGGGGGCTATATGGAAAAGAAGAGAAGAGTACAAGTAATTTGTTTTTACAAAGCAGTTTTCAGTGCAGTGAGGAGTAAAATGTCGGAATTTCCTTTTGAATTATTTTATGTGAGCACTATAGGGTCACTGAGCGTACTGGTAAACTAGGCTGCATGGCCTTTTCACGGATGAGGGGCCTTCCATTGGCCCTCTTGGGCCCTCTCCAGGTTGTAAATTCCTTTACAAAACCCCAGAAGTGAGAAATTGTCATGAAAAGGCATTTATATGGCTCCAGCGTTCGATTTAAGCACTCATTACACAGCGGGGAATCATGGTAGGTTAGCGCAGCTTTGCTAGACGAGCTTAAGGCAAGAAGAAACTATAGACGGTATAAGTACGCAACCACATATCTCATTTGCATTGTTTGAAATCTCCATTCCTATTTTATTTGTATACAAGAGAACAAATCCACATCATTTTTTAGTGATTTTGCAGAATTTTCCTCGCAGAGAGAGGAAAAATCGCGGCAATTATTAAGACTTGCCGTTGAGTAGTTTTCCATTTACAAACTAAAGTAGGTAGGTATGACAAGAAGTGTGCGACGTTGTAAACCGAGATATGTGGTTGCGGACTTGCACCGTCGTTATGCTATCTTGACTAGAATCAATGAAGTACAGTTAGGTTAGATTAGGACCACTTGTAAAGGTTTTACGATAACACACAATTTCAGTGATCCGATACCACTGTCGTCAAACAAGACTGTATGCGCGCGTGAGTGGATGTGCCATAATGTTTAAAAGTGATCTTACTTTGATTTGATTTGTCCCCGCGACCCTCAATTCCTTAGCCCCATCCTGTTGTCCCCGGGCGCCCAACAGTGGATCGAGTTAATGAGAGAGGTCGGACATGAACTTTTTGACGAAAACTGCAAATGTTGATTTTTAATTCGTCACAGGAAAATTTCACGAGAAAACCAATGAAACCATTTTTAAAATATCAAATTTTGATTTGATGGAGTTATGAGCTTTGAATGTTTCCAAATTTTGTCGGACCTCTCCCATCGACTTGATCCACTTGATGCCCTACTCTTTTCAGATTTGGCCCGCGGATGCCAAGTATCTGTGAACACTCGAGAGTTGCCAAAGTTCCTTCGATAAAATGCTTATTTTTAAGGAAAGTTATGAATATTTTTCCTTGAAATTCTTGGGAACTATAGGTGCATTTGCAAACAAAATTATGTGAAAAATTGGAAGAAAAATATTCATGAGTATACCTAGAGATTCTTGTTTATATCAAAAGATATTTGGCAACGCTGAAAGATTCATGCGGCGTTTCTTCTTAGCCCGGCAGTACTTTAGCCCTGTTGTCCAAGCCTCGAACGGGCGCAGTTCTTATCCACAGGCCTGGGCTCATCTTAACGCTTGGCATCTTGTCCTTCGAACATTTCCTCTCATTTGCAGGATCATTAAAATCGGTGAGTTTGTAAACAATTTAAAAAGAGAACCGCCTGTGAATTGAACATACATCGATACATTGAAGAATTGAAGATAGATAGCTGTATCGGCGGGCGTTTGAAGATAGGTATTTTCGTTAGAATGTCATTCTCTGCCAAATGGAAAACAAAGAGAATGTACAAGCAGCCCGAAACGGAAACGACAATCAAAAACACAGGAAAATACGGAAACAAGGCCAAAATACATGTATTTTAGCTGTATTTTAGCATTGTTTCCGCATTTTCCTGTGTTTTCGATCTTCGCCGAGTAAGAGAGTTTCTATCGCCTAAATTTGAGTTTGTGGGTGCGTTCGCCTCAAAAGAAGTGAATAAGGCTCATATCTTGAGGGTCTAGAAGAGAATAAAATGCAAATGATCAACTCAGCGATGGATGTGGCCTAAATGTGACAGGCGACAAAACCTAGACCAAACAAACGAAGACACTCGAAGATGCGGGACTTGTCACGGGATTGTAATCGATTACACAGTTTGACCTCATACTCACAAAATAAACGAGCAGGTCGAGATAAGATTATTTATTGTTATATTCACATTCATCCTCCAATTTCATCTCAGTTTCTGACGAATCTCGTATTCAATCGGTTTATTTTGTGTTGTGCGCTTTTCGAAGGTTCCTATTTCTCTCGCAGGTAAGCGCCTTCAATCTCAAAAGTCCGCATGAATTCGTTGATATAATGTGTTAAACGTTCTGGAAGAATGGAGGAAATATTTTGGAATTATTTGTCTCCTTAATAACCATTAGATATTCATAATTTTTGACAAAGGGATAATAACAATTTTCTGAAGCCGAAAGTAGTTTATTTTAGGAAAAAGAAGAAAAGAAGAAAAATACTTGAACCATTTTTTTTTTTTGAAGTCAACTCAATTCTTCAACCTCTCAAATAGATACCTACGTCAGGAGGATGAGAAGAAGGAAGGAAAGAAAAATTATTAACGCTCACGCCATTTATGGATTAAATTTTGATTTGATGTTGTGCATAGTTTATTTTTGAGGTATCAGGTAAGTCATGTTCAGTGAAAATTAAATACTGACTTGACTCAAATTTCCTTTGATCTAAGACCTAGCCACAAAAGACTCCAGAACTGAGTTGGGGAAACAGAATGAATGACTAACCTAGTTTGAGACAATGTTTGACCTAGTCCCCGTATTTTGTGTTTTACGCTGTAGAAAATTCATTACGGTAGGGCAGAATTTCAACCGATATAGATCAATCAAAATTAAAAAAAAAAAAGATTGACATCGATTTGATATACATCTGTGATTGCATTGACCTTCT